TGATTGTATTGAGTTAAAACAGAGATGCGCAAATCAGAGATTTTTAAGGCTCAAGTCCAGTCAAGTCATTAATCGCCAAAAATATTATTCAATCAAATCCAGTCAAGTCACAACGCTTTCCAAGTCAAGTCAAGTCAAGTCACAGAGTCTTCAAGTCAAATCAATTCAAAAAATGACTATATATTCTCAGCTGGCCGCCGCTTATCTGAAGTACATGAAAGAATGTCTTTTTCTTTGCTTCTGCCCTCATAGGTACTTTTAGGGTAGACAAGAATTAGACGCGTAAATTGCAAAAATATATCTATTTTTTTTTACTTAACTTGTGACTTGACTTTGAAGGTCAAGTCACAAGTCAAGTCAAGTCACGTTCGTTCTCAAGTCAGGTGGAGTCAAGTAAAGAGTTCAAAAGAAAAACTCTCAAGTCAAAAAAATGACTTGACTTGCCCATCTCTGAATTAAAATCAGAACTTTTCCAGGATCTTAGACTTAGGACTTATAAACCAGCCTCGTAGAGATTCGTAAGTTAAGTTTGAGCGAATTTCATCGCGCTAAAAATTACTCACAGTAGAACCGAATAAAAAGAGCAACCTTTTCGTCGGAACAATTCATCACGCTAAGTTGAATGATGATGTTTGTTTTATTGTAACTTTTAAACAGAAGTGGCCACCAGATTCGTTTACGCTGATCGACAAAAAAAGAGCTTTCTGTACCGAGTGATCATATTACATGTCAAAAATCTCATAAAAGATGACTTACGAAGCTCGTCTTCAAAATTGTCGCTAAAAACTGACCTGATAAGACGATAGCTAACCAATCATATTTCCACTTAATTTGGTAATGGTAATTCCGGGTGTTTTTTTCATGAATAGTGAAAAGCCAAATGTTTTTCGTCATTGCTATCGAAATTTATCCAAAAAATAATTGCAAACATACTTTTTTGAAATGGATAGTAGAATGTCACATTAATGTAGACGTATTCGAAGAATCAGAACTATCAACTGACCTGATCTAGCATGCAGACCAGACTAGAAAAAAGTGGTTTATTGGTAGCTTTGTAGCACATGATATGATTACCGAATAGTTCAACAAATGAAATCATTTTTCGTAGGATTGAATTTACGACATTAGCTGTTCAACATAAAGCTGTTAACCTTGGTCAAGGTTTCATAGATTATGAACCACCACAATATTTTCTGAATATCTATGATGAAACAGTCAAAGAGCATAATAAATTCTTACATCAATATACTCGTGGATTTGTAAGTTCAATTTAAATATAGATTTTCTTTCAATTGCTATTGATGAAATAGGGTCATCGGCGATTAGTTGAAGCACTATCAAATTTTTATTCATTATATTTTAATCGAAAACTGGATCCATTCAAAGAAATCCTAATAGCTAGTGGAGCCTATTCATCATTATTCAATGCAATTCATAGTATCATTAATCCTGGTGATGAAGTAAATATTGAAAAATTAATTTCCATTTTATTCTCTAGAATCCTTTCTTAAGATCTCATATATCTATAGGTTATTTTAATTGAACCATTTTTTGATTGTTATGAACCAATGGTGCGTTCAGCTGGTGGAATCGTTAAAAGTATACCACTTCGACCAGTAATTTTCTAAAGATTTCTTTCGTTTGTTAACATCTTAAAATATTTATTGTAGAAACCAGAATCAATGCAACAAGATATATCATCAAGTTCGGATTGGACACTTGATAAAAATGAATTAGAATCAATGTTTAATTCACATACACGTCTTATTATATTAAATACACCAAATAATCCTCTGGGAAAAGTATATTTTTTTAATTTAAAAAACAACAAAACAGATAGGAACATTTTTTAAAGGTCTTTACACTCGAAGAACTTGAACATATTGCAAGTTTATGCCTGAAATATAATGTTATTTGTATATCGGATGAAGTTTATGAATGGATAATATATAATAGTAATAACAAACATATACGTATAGCAACAATACCTAATATGTGGCAAAGAACCTTAACAATCGGAAGTGCAGGCAAAACATTTTCATCAACAGGTTTAAAATTAGGTTGGACCATTGGACCAGAATATCTTATTCGTTTAAGTCAAATTGTTCATCAAGTAATTGAGAAACAAGAAATTTTGTTTTTTAATGCATACATATTATTTCATAGCATTCTGTTTTTATATGTCCAACTCTATCTCAAGAAGTTGTTGCACGTTGTTTTGAATATGAATTAAAACGTTTAAATTCTTCAGAATGTTATTTTAATGCAGTATCAAATGAGTTTATTAAAAAACGTAATCAATTTGCTCAAGTTTTAAAAGAATGTGGAATGAAACCAGTTGTACCTGATGGAGGATATTTTATTCTTGCGAATATGTCTCAATTTGGTTTGTATTAAAAATATATTTTTTTTTATGCCTATGGTAAGAAAGATTATTTTCATATATATTGAATAGCTAATGATGAACAATTTCAATCAGATGAAAATGATAAGAAAGATTTTAAATTTGTTCGATATTTGATAAAAGAAAAAGTAAATGTCTTATAAAATTATAAAAAAAAAAACAATAAAATTATTTTATTTTAGCAACTTGCAACAATTCCTGTTTCAGCTTTTTATACAAAAGATCATCAATATTTAGGAGAAAATTATATTCGATTTTGTTTCGCTAAAGTAAATTGAAATAAAACAAAAGTTTTTAATAGCATTTTTCGTTTATTTGCTTTATTTTAGAATGACGAAACATTGGATAAAGCAACTGATATTCTTCGAAAACTTAAAGTACATTAGATTTATATTCTTCAGTGAACAAACTGTGTTATTTCAATTGTATTTTGCATTATCTACTAAAAAAACTGAATTTTAAAATTAATTTCTTTGAATTGTACAATAATAAAACTCACTTTATAAAAGAAAACATTAGAATAATATCCAATAGACAATGGAAGACCTACAAAAATACGTCAAGATCATACAAAATGATTTTTTAGGAAAGAAAACACACCCTTGCACTTCAACAACTTTGTGACATGAGATGTTGCCTAATAGTCGATTCGATAGTCGAATATCTTTCCTACAATTATAACTAACTGTAGATCTGAGCAGATGGCCTCACAACGTAGGCAACATGCTAGCGAACGGATAATTCTAAACAAATCACCAGTAATAATTTGTCCAGGGTCAGTCTATAGTTGGTGATACTGAGATTTGAACACAGTACCATGTGAGTAACTGACGAACAACATAAACACTCCGCGATGATAAGCTAAACTACTATTTACTATCATGTACGTAGATTGATCTTACGAGGAAAGTTCTTCAACTGATTCATCACTTTTGAGTCGAGACTAGGTGCATCATGTAGATCCTAATGAATACCCTAAACAGAGTTCGGATTCTTAGCTTATTGCTACGAAGATACGGCAACGTTATGATATTTCAAGACAATGCTGTGACTCCTTTCCAAAACACGAAAAAAAACTGATGTTTCGAATTTCAACTTGAAACTGTGCATCCCGATAGATCTTGATAAGAATAGTTTATTGTAATAGTCTCAGTCTTTTTTGACTTTCTGTGACTTTGAAATAAAAACATTGACTCTGCAGATATTTCAGAACGACATGAAAGACGCACTCGTACTAAAACCATAATATCTTTGAATAGGAATTAGAGTTGCCAAATCAAAAACATAAGAATCAGAACTTTTTTTGCATCTTCAGAAATTAATCAGAAAGAATGACTTTTTTTGCGTCCTAGCAACTATTATGTTAACAGAGTCACACCAAATACTTTATAGAATTTCTGTTCGCTGTTTTATACTTTAGTTTCAAAAAGTATTTCACTACTAAGACAAAACAATCAATATCTTTTTTATTTAATACGGAAAAACTAAAAAGACAAAGTATCTAGTGTCGGACTCTTTCAATAAATTCAACAAACCATATATATATATTAAGTAGGTTAATAGGTCCTGCGAAAGAAAAAAAAAAGAAGTTTTATAACATTAATTCAATATGATTGTTCATATTTACCATTTTTTAGAATGTTTTACCCCGGGTGTGCGAGTGGATAAAGAGAAAGCCACACTCATATCTACACTCTAACGAAGCTGTGATCTAAAATCGTTCAGAAATTCAGAAAATAAAATTAGAAGATTTAGCAATTCTGATAGAAACAACGAAAAGATCTGAAACTTCTACAATAAAATACTCTTATGAAAGCTTGTCTTTATGCATAGTTTCAAGTCAAAATTCGAGAAAAAATAATTTCGAGTATTCATGAGGAATACCCTGTTATTAAACTACAAAAATACTGCATATTCGCGACAAAAAAGCTAAGGACAACAACTCTTTTTAGAGTATTTATAGTCAATTATGGTATAAATGATACACAATCTGACCATGTATTGCTAAGGATAACAATGATGACTCCTCCAATCTTGAAAACTGTTCTTTTTTTTGTTCACCGCTTTATCGTTTTCTGTGTCTAGTAATTCTCTAAAAGGCTCTCAGCTCCTCCCACACACTCAGTGAACTTTATTAGTATATTCAAGCTTAACTTAAAAATAATCAAAGTAAGTTCGAAATGTAGATCGAAATCAATTTATTATTTCCGCTTGTTTCTTATGCATATTCAATTTTGAAAATAAATGTTTACTAAGAATAATCAATCAAATACGATGTTCCTACGCATAAAATAAATCTGTTTTGCATTTTTTTAATGACAAAGTCGATGGATATATTTAAGGATAGAAAAGTACTGCATCATCCAATTTATATTTGACTGATGTAAACATTTACATCTGTTGAATCAATATATATATATATATATATTGATTAAAAGTGCGAGTTACCTTTATTATTCGGATAATTACATGATTACTTTTAGCTTGCATATCGTACATATTTATTTATGAAGAGGATGTACGTACAAGATTTACAGCTGTATAAGAACAACAACAAAAATACGTTTTATCTTCATTTTAATCGAAGATATTGACAATGACAAAAATCATTTTATTGATTCTTGTAACAATAATTCTTAGTATTACAATTGAACATTGTCAAGCAAAGACGAATGATGCAGGTTAAGCTATTTTATGACAAGTTTTTTTTTTTTATTATGTGTCTTTTATTTATTATCTAGACTTCGGAGAAAATCGAAAGAAAACACTACGATTAAAAGTAAATAAACGATTTGTTCATAAAGATCGTATTCGTCGTCAAAATCAAGAATCAATATCAAATGTTGATACAGCAGCAACAGTTCTTTCAATTCTTCCATTAGATCGTATAGGTAATATTATTGGTCAAATCATGTCAACTGGTCTTAAAGAAATGTTTAATCCAAATGTTGGACAAAAAATTGTTAATGTTTTAGAAAATCAAGCACCATTATTATTAACATCACTTTTTACCAATCTTTATACAACTCTAAGTGTTCCTGGAAAAGTACCACCAAAACCAAATACAGGAACATCACCAGTATCATTGAATGATAATGCTGTTAAACAATTAAGTAATAGTTCAACATCAGAAATAATGAATGCTGTTCGACGTCCACCAGCGAAGTGAAATATATATATATGTGTAGAAACTGAATATGTATATGAAATACAATAAAATCGTACTATCTCATTGATATTTTCAACTAAATTGATTTGAAATCTTACTAATTATTTATATTTTCATTATAATAAATTTAACAATATTAAAAAAATAATATTTCAATATCTAGAAAATATTCTTGAATATGAATATATAACTAAAACAAGAAGACAATATCAAATAAAGCATCAAATTAGTATTTGACTCATACGATGTGTCAAATAACATAGACACAACAATCAAAATAGATATACAATAAGATAAAACGATTGCATATCAACGTTGTTTCTTTCCTTTTTCTTTATTACGATAATATCATAACGAATTCATTTAAATCTTAGCATTATTTTTTTCTATTGATCTTTTATTTACATGCCGATAGCGATACTTATATTTTGTTGAATATCTCATCTCTTTTAATAATTACACAATAACAATCATCAAATACATCTTTATAAAAGACATAACAAGCATTTATTTCTAACAATGATGTGTCAATAACAAAATAAGAAAAAAAAATATAAAAAAAGCTGATTATACAAATTTGTTTAAATAATACAATGAGAATATCACACCTGGATGCCAATCGAATTCAATAAGTATCTATAAACCAATCTATTTGTTCATCCCGATAAAGAGATCATATACAAAGATATAAGAAAACAAAAACAATATGTTTTAATAAATTTTTCTCATAGAATGATATATATCTAAAGTTATTACTTCACTATTGATTTATATTATTGTAAATTATGTTTACTAATATGAAAAATGGAATTTAAGAAACAAAAAGTCTACATCTATTTGTTTGTCATCTAATACTCGATTGGCCAATTTGTTTAACGTACATCAGAATGAGTACGTCATCGAACTAGTTTTCCCCATTCTTTCATTTTATTTCTTCTCTGACGCGATGCATGTTGCTTACTCATTTTTCGAATGTGATACTATCAAAATTGTATTTGATAATCACTATTACAAACGATATTCGAATTTCATTTTACGGATTAAAATGTGTTGAAAGGCAAGTATACCATTAAAAATGGAAGATGTTCCTTATGTTACTTAACTTTGTTATCACTGTATCATCAATCATTGTATGGTCAAATACAGACAAAACCAAATGAGAATAACAAGGTCGAGCACGAACACAAAAAAATCCATCGATTAGATAAGCATTTTTTCTAGGCAAATATTCGATATACTGAATACGCAAATACAATTTATCTTAATAATTTCAACGAAATGCAAGAAGAAAAAAAAAAAGAAATTGAAATAAAATTATCACTACATTTTCATCTTTGATAAACTTTCCTATATGAAATATAACTGTCCTAGTTCTATGTTTTGTGTACTTTTCTTTTAAACTTCTACATAATAATCGTGTTCTTTTTTTTTCTAAAAATTCTTCAAACACAAAAAATAAACTATTTTCATTTAGATTAATTATAAAAAGAAAATCTCGAACAAATTTAATGATAGAACTCGAATATCACAAAAAAAAAAACATCAAACTATTCAATATTAATAGATGTTTTCCATTTTTTTTGTTTTTCTTTTCCTATGAATATCAATGGCTGCTATCCAAGTATCTCTCTCTCTTTTCTCTTTTTTGCCTTGCTTAAAACAACAGCACAAAGTTTGTTCGCTTGCACTGCCGCTATTCAATTCACAGTATGCTCGTCATCTTTAACCGTCGTTTTCTCTCGACTATATCGAAGAAAAAAAGAAGAAAGTCTATTGTTTGCCGTATTGTGCCCGTATAACGCCATTATTGTCGACGAGAAGAAGAAACATGGATTGGTGGAAAAACACAAGAACGAACGATGATTTTTCTTCGTTGTTTTTTTTTTTCTCTCTCATTATGTTATATGACTATGTGCCAAAGAATGGCGGCAACAGCGAAAGGACACGCACATAGCATCATATAAAAGAAACGAGCTAAACGAGAGGACAGACGACGACGTACACATACACACACACAAATATATATATACACATTCGGCAATCGCTGCAGAGAAAAGAAAAGAGAAGAAATAGTTGCTTGTCATATTTTCTCTCTTTCTCTATTTGTGTTGGGTCTATGTCTACTTGATTCTTACATTTATCCTCGCACACTTTACACTACTATTTGCTTCTTATATTAAATAACTAAATTTGATCAATGGCCGATTCAACTGATGCCTTGTCTTCACCAACCGTTACACCTACTAAAGGTAACAACAAAAAAAAAAAGAAAATGTCTAATAAATTTTAAAGTAATATTTCTCTTTTTAATAATATTATTCTTTGTTAGGAACAAAACGTGAAGCAGATTCGGATGATGTAAGTCCAACAAAATTAAAAACATTAAAAGCTACACGTAATGGTACAAATGGTGGTGGACCAGTCGATGATGACTCATCAAATCATAAAAATGGTGATGATAATTTACCTGATGAAGACGATGAAGATGATGATGACGTAAGTTTTTTGAAGAAATTAAAATTTAAAGTTAAGAAATAATTTAGTTTTCCTTGTTTTTGTTTTATTTTGTTTAGGTAGCCGGTGATGATCAAGATGCTGATGATTATGAGGATGAAGATGCTTCTGATGATGATTATGAAGAAGATACTGGAGAAAATGGTGAAGATGATGAAGGTAAAGAAAAAAAAAAAAAACAAAAATTTTAATATTATTTAATTTCTCAGGTGATGCAAAAGCTTCGACTGGTAGATCAAATTCTCGAAGAGCTGCGGCTGGTGCATCAGATGCTAATGAAAGTGGTGATGATGACGAAGATGATGAAGAGGATGATGAACAAGAATAGAAATATACATTATTCAGATATATCCTATTTGCTTTTTTTTTTGTCATGATTGAAAAAAGTACCAAGGAAGATGTTTCTTTTTTGTTGTTGTTTTCATTCGTACATTCACACATTGAAAATTTATTGTTGTTCTTATTTCTTCTTGATGTTGTTATTGTTGTATATTTCTTCTTGTGTGCCGGTTGTGTGTATTTTTTTTTTGTTTGCGACTGCATTAGCTTCGCACAAATCATTCATTCATTCATTTTTTTTTTTCGACAAGAATATAGAGACAAACAAACAAACTGATTGAACATACACACAAAACTAAATATCTGAACATTTTTTTTGTTTGAGATACATAAGAATAACTGATGATGAATTGGAGTTAACCGTTTTTTTTTTTTTTGAGAGCAAAGATGTATTCGAATGCCATAGATGGTAAATTACAGTGGATGATTGTTGATGAGCCTAGAGACAAAAAAATTACATAGTAGAGATATTCTATTTTAGATTATATCAATAGATGTCACTCAAAGCATTTTAAGACATGATGTTGAAAAAGAAGTTTGTTTGGTACCGTATCAAAAGTTCCTTATTATGTCTTATTTTTCTGTTGAGGTAAAATGCTTATATGATATACTGGTTATCTTCATTAAGCTACGTTTGAAATTTCTTAGTAACGATCCAATATAAGCGTAATAGATCATTGCACCCACGACATGTTGATTATGTTTTGGAACTTACTCAGTTTTTTGGCAGCGTCTAACGAAGATTTGTAGAAATAAGAAAAAATATTTTAGTTACTTTTGTAAATTTGGAACTTTTGTTTTGTTTTTCTCGATTTCAAAAATGAATCTTTCCATAATCATATAGTTTTCAATCGATCCGTAAAATATCTGCTTATCATCAAAGTTAATGTAAAATTTTCTGGCTATTATTCATTTCTGGAAAGAAAATAAAACACCTGTTTTATATGAAAACCACGTCTTAATTTAGTCGGGTGTGTAATGAACTGATTACGTCCAATGTTGGAAGTTACTTGAAGAGAAACAGAAAAGCACAGAAAAAAAAAGAATAATAGACAAAAAAAAAGAGACATCGATATAGACGCATACACAAGTACACACTTTCACATACACAATTTCGTTTTTTTTTTGCTTTTTTTATTCAAATTGACAAACGAGCGATCATAACATCGTTGATATAATATGAAATATTTCTTGACTTGTTTGATAAAAATAAGATGATAACAAAAAAAACAATATATGAATAATATTAACAGTTTAATTTGTGTTTAAATTTTTGAGGATTATATATCAGTATCATTTTTTATTGATGATGTCGTTGAACCTAGCATTTCAATTGATTGGGGATATGAAATAATATGATCTTTTTGCTGTTTTGGGCTAAAAAATATAGCAAGAAAATAGTTCGTATAAATTTTTTTATTAAAGAAAAAAAAAATATTAATAATGATAATAATTCTACATAATGAAGAAAGCGCGTAAACCAATTGTCGACATTTTAAGTATATTTCCATCTGGGAGATGCTTTCTCTTTTGACATTAATTCTATACATAATAATAATAATCTACCTGTCAGTAATAATGTTTGTTGGATCAGGACTATCCATTTGCATATCTAAAATAAAAATAATGAAATGATAGATTTTGTTTTATTCACTTATTTACCGTTGGATAGATTATATCTTTGATATTCAATAACTTCACGTTCTTTAAAATGTGCTTGAATTTGATTTTCATTCCAACCACGACGTGATAATCGTTTATGTTCTTTACTCCACATTTCATGACAATCTTGTGAAGTTGGTAAACTAAAGGCATAATTATTTATATATATAAATATAGAAGAAATGAAAAATTAATTCTTACGATGGTGCTTTCATCGTATCTTCATTAATATTTTTAAGCCAAGACGATTGTAGAGCATCGGCTGCACTTATTCGTTTTGATGGATCTAATTCAAGCATGCGATCTAATAAATCTAAAGCAGGTTCAACAAGACTAAAATAACAATGCAAATATATAAAATAGAAATAACTTTTAAAATATTATAATACTATTGAAATTCTTCACGTAATCTTCTTCTATAAGTTTTTCTTTGTTTTAATGTAGCAAATAAAGGTAAATGTATGACATCTGGCCATACTACTGGTGTTGGTGAACCACATAAACGTGAAATCATTTCTAATTGATCATCTTCACGTTGTGCTTGAAATAAAGGTCGACGCTGAAATAATTCACCCAGAATGCATCTATATAAAAATTAAGTTTTCATGTCTTATTTTACAATAAAAATCCAAAAAAACTATATAATTTACCCGCAACTCCAAATATCAATCGCTGGTCCATATCTTTCTTCTCCAAGTAATAATTCCGGTGGTCTATACCATAATGTAATAACTTTATTTGTATATGGTCGCTCTTTATCATCAGCATTGTATAATCTTGCAAGACCAAAATCAGCTAATTTAATTTTTCCATTATTATTTAATAAAATATTTGAACATTTAATATCACGATGTAAGAATTTTCGATTATGAGAATAAGCTAAACCGGACATAATTTGATACATAAATGAAGCAATGTGATCTAAGTCAAGTTGAATGAAACCTGAATCAAGTAAACCAAATAAATCATGATCACAATATTCAAAAACTAAATAAAATGACGTATCATTTCGTATATCTGATATTGAACGTGCATCCATAACAATTTCTTTTAAATTAACTATATTTTCATGAGTTAATTGACGAAGAATTTGAATTTCACGAACAGCTGTTATTGGAAAACCTTCTTTTTCATTTTCTAGTCGAACTTTTTTTAATGCACATATATCACCTAAAGAATTCAATTATTGAAAACAAATTTTATTTTTTAAATGTATATATATATATACCGGTTTGTTTATCTCGTGCTTTAAATACTTCACCATAAGTACCTTCACCAATTTTAGCTAAGATTTCATACATATCAACATTACGATCATCCCATTGATTTTTACGCATATCATCACGACGTTGAAGAATTCTTTACAAGAAAAAAAAACCTATTAACGTAATCCTTCCAGGATTAAAAATATGAAACACGATATAGCTGCTGTTACTAATCATATGGAGGTTGTTTTATTCGAACTATTTTGGGATACATTTATTCATACTCATTTTACTTAATCCCTCAGAAATGCATATAATAAAGTAGGTCATAGATTATAACCATACGTTTTTGATATAGATACTCCGATTATATATCAATATCGTCTATCACGACCTATGACGCGATGACTGAGTATTACTAAGGAGTTATTATGGTTGGCGAGATAATTTACTCATATGTCCAATTGCTTTTTGATCACGATTTTATTTAGGTGAAAGATCATGATGAATAATAGAAAAGCCTAAGAAGGTTCAATTGTCTATGCCTTTGCTCTTGATATATCAAATTTTTACTGCATTTTTTAACAAACAGCTGTGGTTGCTCAACATGAAAATCGAATTCTGAGTTTTGATTTGAAAATTTGCATAAATAAAGCTCTCAATGACCCTAATTCGCGGTGAAAATTTCCCTGACTTAAGTGTTTAGTGTCATGAGATATTAGTATAACAAGAAGGATTTTCCTTTTTATTAGAAGATTTTTCTATACTTATATTTCAGAGTAGAAGATCCAAAAATCAGTGAAATTTTCATAATGATCTAGTGCTCTTAGGAACTTCCTTTGTGCAAAGTTTCAAATCGAACTTCGAAATTCGATTTTCATAATGATCACAAAGAGATTACAGCTTTCTGTTCAAAAATGCAGTCAAAGCTCAATATTTCAAGAACCAAGTCTCAGATATTCGGAGCTTCTCAGGTTCTAACAATATTTATTACGGTCTTTCAGCTGAATTTAGCCTCAATCAAAAAATTATTAGATACTCAGCGACGTTTCCTCATGAGTGTGACTACGCTACTTGGTACGTATCCACAAGGTACTGTGTTCAAACCTCAATGCCACCAATTATGGAATGACTTCGAATGATCCCTAACTACAGTTAGTCATAATAGTAGGGAAGATATGAGACTAAGGAAACCGCTTTCCATACTAAAAGCTAGCGAGAGGGTGGGCGTTTTTTCTTCTAGTCACAGTCTGTGAGAGGAGGAGTTCTGATTTTCGCTTCTTTACTTCAACACTCATTTTAGATTCTGTTTTTCAAAATAATGGATTGAAATTTCTATATTTTACAAAGGTCGTCGCATTGGTTTATCAGATTGATTGGATGAATAGATTTTATTTGTTGATGTTGACTGAGAAAATGTATGAGTTGGTGATGGATTCATTGGACTTGAAGATGAAGGAGAATCTTGTTGATAATTTGGTGGCATTGGTAATGAACGTGTTAAATGAGTTTGGCCACCAAGTGGTGGAACAATTGTGGAATTTGATGATGATGTTGGTCGATGACGTACATTCAAACTTAAATATAATAGATTAGAGAATGCAAAGCATGACCTTTTGTTTCAATTTACTCGAAACAACTTGCATTTGAAGTAGATATTAACGATGTACCCGATGATTTTATATTTTTCTATGAAAAGCAGAAACAAATACAAATTAGTCTCAGATCTTCTATAGATTTAACTTTCGAATCTACGCTGAAAAATTATTAGAGTAAGTCCATGAGTGTCTAACCACTTTTCTGACAAAAGATTTGGCTAGGAAAAGTTTCTAATTTTTGCTTCTAATGGACGAGACTTGTAGCGTTTTCTAGGAATGTCAATAAAAAGTTTCACAAATAATTTCAAGATTCTGAGTTCATGAGTAAAACATCTCAACCTTTAAAGAGTTTTGATTTCTATTGATATTTGATAGATATGTGAATGTTGCGAAACGTAGTGGTTTTCGATGTTTCTATAAAAATACATTATTTGTAAAGTTGTACTAGTCTGGTAATATTCTATTTATGAGCTCACAATTTGAAATCAATTGTGAGACCTTCAATAGATATTTGTGGAAAACGA